ACTACAGTATTCTTTTTTTTAAATTAAAATTTACCATTATTTTATTATATAAATAAAAAAAATATGAAAATATATAAAATAAAAAATAAAAAAAAAGAAAAAAGAAAAAAAAAGATATATTTTAAAAAAAAATTATTATAAAATTGAAAAAAAAATAAAAAATAAAATTTAAAATTAAAAAAAAAAAAATTTAAAAAAAAAAAATAAAAAAAAATAAAAACTGTAAATGAAACCAAGTAAGCTTTAAAAAATAAGAATTAATATATTAATTATTAATTTATTTATTTTTTCTATGGTTTTTAAAATGGTATCTAATCGGTGCTTGAGTATAATTGTTCTGGAATATTGTTGGCTTTCATGTAATCACCAAATACTTTGGTAGAAACAACAAAAACTTCATTAATATCAGCTTCAGAAGGAATATTAACAGCTGGGTCAACTTCAGTAAGAGTATCAATAATAATTTTTCTTAATGCATCAGTAATTCTAAAATTAATAAAAAAAAATAAAAATTTTTATTAGAATAAAAATCCTTTTTGTTATTATTATTATTACTACTACTATTATTATATCCATTAATTTCTTTATTTTAGTTATTATTGCTATCATATTATAATTATAAATATATATAATGATTATTTTATACCTTAATCTATAGTTTTTAATGGAAAGATCATGTAATCTGGCGACTCTGTCGTTTAATGGAAGTTGGGCAAGATGTTCAGACATTTTATTTGGATAATAAAGAAATATAAAAATTAAAATTAAAAGTTGATAAGTAATAACTTTTTTTTTTTAATTTATATTTTTTTAAAATATTTTTCCATTGTTCCAAATATATTTTTCCGAGCCGTCAAATTCATTTTTTCCCTAAATTTTTAGGTTTTTAAAAACCCAGATTTTTATTCAAAGTTGAAAAAAAAAAAAAAATTGTGGGTTTGGGAATTTCTTTTTATATTTTTTAGGAATTGTCAAATATAATTTTTTATCTCTGGTTTATAAAAACATACTCTTTTATTGATTTTCAACAGTTCATTCATCAATAGGTAATTTAATATTTATTTTATACACCAAAAATAAAAATATAAATAATTATTCAGTTTGATACAAAATACAAAATTTAATAATTTTTAAATATTAAAATTTATTTAATAATATTTATTTTAATTCTGATTTGTTTTTTGATGATGATGATGAAAAATCAAAACTCTTCTTTAAACTAAAACCACTTTTTGGACTTCTTTTAATATTTGTTCCTTTTAATATATCTTTTGATTTTTCATCAACATTTAATCTTTTGTTAACACTATCTTTAATTATTTAAAAATAATTTTAAAAAAAAATTTATTGAAGAAAAATAAAAAAAGGTTAGTTTAAATATATAAAGGGTAGTTTTTATTATTGTGACCAATGTTTATTAAATTTTTAGTAAGTTATTTATTGAAAGGAAAAAAATATAATTTTTAAAAAAAAAAAAAAAAACTAATAAATAAAATTTTATTTGTATAATAAAAAAATGTAGTACCTTTACACAGCACTATTATTATCTATAATTATTGTTATTGTTATTATTATTATTATTATTGCTATTATTAATATTATTATTTATAGACATACCACTTCTTTTTGAAAAAGGTATTAAGGTTTGAGGTAATTGATCGGGTAATTCAAAACCTTTTAATTTTACATTTACTAAATGCATTGCTAAACAAAATCCTTCAAAGTCTAATTTACCCTCCTTGTTGATATCACTAAGACGCCAAATTTGAGCTAAAATATTTGATGGTAAACCTGATTGGGAGAGTGGAACTTTAGCATCGGCACCTGTAACTTTACCATTGATTGGATTTAATGAATTGAATAGTGGAAGAAAAGCATTTTGATCAACATTTTCAAATAATTGCCAACGAATAGATTCGTCTACTTCATCTAAAGCGAATGGATTTAACTCGTAAGATGTTGGTTGATGAGAACCATCTAATGGGAAACGTTGAAGAAGTTTTGGGAAATCGTTAGAGAGGACCTCATCGATTTGATCCAACATTTTTTGATTTACTTTTGGGAATTTACTGAAATCTTGAACATTAAGTTGTTGACGATATCTATCCAAATCTGGGAAATCACCCTCTGGAAGGTTATGAATTCTTTCAATCTTTTTAAACTCTCTATCTAGATTTGCAATAAGTTCAGCCTGTTTCTTCTCTTTACCAAATACTGGCATTTCATTCTTTAGATGTGACAATATAAGTGCATGGACTTTAGTCATACGTGCTCTTTTAACCAAATCATTAACTTTTCTAACGGCTGCATTCTTTGGAAGTAATAAAAGCTCTTTGATGAGATCTACCATTTCTGCATGTAAGAGATTCTCTGTCTCTGGATTTTGTAATGGACCACCACTCCAGAATGAGCCCAAATATACTCTCATAACCTCTGGAGTTTTAATAACTTTTCCTAATGACCACATCATAGCACCATAAACACGTAATAATTGTTGACTTGATACTTTGTCAGCTTTGTTTAATACAATTTTAATCTTTTCGTCGTGACCTTTTAATGCTTCGATGGCTTGTTTAAATTCATCAGAGATATCCAATTTATGTGCATCGAATAATAATAAAATCATATCTGCTCTTTCTGCAAACCATGATGTAACTGCTGGAAAATCGTAGGATCTTTGTGACTGTTTAGAACCACTTAAAACACCTGGTGTATCGATAAATGAAACTGATTGTAAAATTGGTGCACTACACATACTACATTGAAACTTATTCATAAAACCTGTACCAAATCTTGCTAATCCTTTGAATGGTTTATCTTCTTGTACACAAACTGTATTACCTGGTATAATTCTATCTTCATTACCATACATTACTGCATTAAATCTATCAGTTGTTGGTTCTATTTTTTAAAATAAAAAAAAACAATAATAATTAGATAAACTATTTAAATTATTATTATTATTATTATTATAACCATTAATAATATAAATTTACCTGGACCAATATTTTGACCTGGAACATCTCTTTCGCATAAATATTGAATAAATGTAGTTTTACCTGTACTATATTGACCAATTAATAAAACCATTGGTTTTGCCTCAATATCACTATCTGTTAATGTTGGTGTATAAAAATCTCCAAACCTATTAAATATATTTATTGGGTAAACGTGTTAATTTTTACATTTTAGTTTAAAACATATTTATATAAATATTACTTTGTTAAAGTTTCTAATGGTTTTATTTTACTACTGTATAAATTTTTTAAAGCATCAATTGATGTTGTAAATAACTTATCAGTTTCTTTTGATTCTGAAACATTTAATTTCTTCATTTTAAAATACAAGTATAGTTATTAATTTTATTATATAAAAAAAAAAGGAATGAAATGTGTGTGGGTAAATGATATAAAAAAAGAAAAATTTAAATTTAAAAAAAAATATATTATTTTTAAACTATTGTTTATTTAAATGAAAATATAATTTATAATTAAAAAATAATAAAAAAAAATAAAAGAATCTAATAATTGTTTATTTAATTTATTATTTATAAAATTTAAATAAAAAAAAAAAAATGGAAAATGAAAAAATTTGAAAATTAAAAAATTTAGAAAAAAAAATAAAAAATTAAAAAAAAAAAAATTTTATTTTATTTTTTATAGATTAAATAAACAAGTTTTGCCTATCTGGCATTAATTAACTC